AAAATCCCATAACACAACATACCTGTAAAAAAATACAGTCACACAAACATAAAATTGGTTATTCCTGTCAGGTTTTTTTGAAGGCAGCCAAACTGACTTATTTTTCATAAATAATAATGTGAAGAGATAAAATTTTACTGGGTGAAAATATTGGGCTGAATTCTGTTTCCCCAAACTCCCATTGACATTAATGGTCATTGCAGGTGCGCAAGGGATGCCAAATCATGTGCAAGGCCAAAGCAATACTTTTTTTTTTTTTTTTTACAATCAAGTTATAAACCCCATATAGTATATGGAGGCTTGCAAGTGGACATGTTAACACAGATATAGCAGCGTGAGCATGCCACAACATACAATCTCATAGAATAAAATTAATATCAAATATAAAGCATTTGAACCAAATCAAGCCTTAAATGTGATAAATTATTTCCTTCAAAGGAAACTTAACTGAGGCTCGATAAGGTTTTTGCTAGCAGCATTTTTTTTTTTCAAAGAAATTAAAAATGCCAAAATATCTACAATTTTATGAGAAGAAGGAGTTGAATAGTTAAGGATAAATTTCCCACTATTAGGGGCTATGAAAAATATACTAGCAATTAATATGCAATACATATATGTATACCCATACTTACAAATATAAACACACACATACAACCTGGACAGTTCATGTTAACCAAGGGAAAGGTTAAATAATACAAAGTGATAACCAAATACAGGTACACTTTAAAAACACAGAGACAGCGAATTTTATCTGTTGCAAAAATGTATTTGATTACTCGAGTAAAATTACAGTATCTCTGCTGTTAGTAAGTATTAAATGTTAAAGAAACTGGACCTCTTTTCCTTCCAACTTTCTGAGAAAGTGCATGTAACAGTCCAAGGTTCCCCCTGCCCCCCCTATACCTAATACAAAATAAACAAACACTATACTTGTTCCCTTGGTCAAGGAGTAGGGCTTGGTCTTGTAAGGAACATATGTACATTTTAATGAAAGTGATGTCTTATTGTATATACAGGAGCATCTACAGTTGTCCATGGAAGTTGTTCAAGATGCCATACTTAGCAGCATTGTGAAAGTCCAGCACGTTTTCTATAATGAATATACCTACAAGGCAAAATGTTACGTCTCAGTTTCAACTACCAAAACAACACTTCAGTATCTTCTCTAATAATCTGCGTGCTTATTACTGTACAGAAATGTATTAACATTTAAGACGACTCAAGTAAAAAGCACAATACAAATAACAGTTCAAAACGGAAAATGTTAAACCTACAAAAATTAAAGCAGTTTTAATTTCATAATAAAAATCAAAAACTGAGCTGTGACCCACACTGTTCAGTCTATATTCTCTCAGTCCTTTTCTTAATTCTGTTTGGAAAAATTAAACAATGTGTTTGCTGATAAAATTTCCAGCAGGATCAAAGTGTACATTTATATACAGATTTTTATTAGAGATCTAATGCATCACTGAGGCATTGCATCAATACCAGAGTTCATGTTAAACTGGATATAGAAAATAAGTTAATGCCGGAATAAGATCACCTAGCAGAACAGACTTGCAACTGCCATAAATGTTACAGCAAGTTTACAGCACTCTAGTCGATTAGTATTTAGTCCAAAATACAGGAGACCAAAGTTAATGCTTGCATTTGTTTGCAAAGCAAGGTTATATCACTAATAAATAAGCTCTCTTAGAACTCTAGAAGTAGAACATGGTACAAAAGAAAGTCTTTGTAATGTTGTAGCCTGCAGCTTGAAAAGAAACAACCCTAGGTTGCACTATTTGCAGGAATGTTATTTATGGAGGTTTTTTTCTAATTTGTTACAATTTCTTTGTTGTCTTCCACGAAACGCGTGAAACGGAAGTTTGTCCCATTTTCATTGCTTGCCATTTTCTCCAGACCAGCTAGAGGTGCATTGGGTTCTGAATTCTGGAGCTTCTCCAGGCTTCCCGTCAAGCCACTGATGGGAGAGCTGCCACCGTTGCCCAGGCCCCCTGCTGCCGGAGGGATGCCGCCATTCTGGATGACAGAGATCTCGTTGGTCTTCATGGCCAAGCCATTGGAGAGTGCTGCTGCATACTGGTTCCAGAAGCTGGAAGGGTCTCCATTCCCTGACCGTGCCGCCAAATCCTTCTGAAACATTTCTGGGAACTTTACAGGATTGCCTCCTAGAAATGTCATGGGGCCATCCACAGAAAGTCGTCTGCCTCGTCTTGCAGGAGTACTGTTCCACATATGAGTGCCCATGTGAACCTGAAAAGAAAGGAAGAAACAAACAAACAAAAAATAGGGGTTGACAGGGATTTCAAACTTATTTTGATTACAGAGAAGGCAGCAGTCCATAAACACGTCCAGTCTTGTTATACAATGAACAGCACTAAAGGTAACGGAGGCAGGGCTCCATTTCCCATCTGGAATAATAAACAAACAAACTTCTTCTGGATTAGCCCATCACTATTACCCAGAATACCCTGTT